TTCTGTGCTCCAGGAGTTGTCCTTGGTACAAAATAGGAATTAATATTCCTTTTTTGTTGTGCTGCATGTGATTGAGATTGAGGGATCTCTTCAATTTCATCATCTTCTTCAACAAATGTTTGTGACCCACATTGACTCCCAACCCTATCTCCAAGTCTCTTTCTCTTTTCTTTCCCTTTCCTTATCTCACTTAACAACTGTTGCATTTGCCATTTTACATCTGCTGAAACTTTTTTGCATGCACCAACATTGCCTTTAATTCCAGCAAGGTGTTCTTTCAATCTAGTAATTCCACCCCCTTGTATAAGCTTATCATAATATAAAATTTTGTTTGATTCCTCTTGCCTGGGACAATCAAACAATGCGCCCAAGCAGGATCATCTGTTTTAAAAGGGACAGATCCAATATAATCACCAGTAGTAGTCCCTAAACCACTAGTATTCATAATGATATCCTACAAAAACAACCCCTGAGGAAAAAAACAAATAATTACACAACAAAAATTAAATGAAAAATATCATAGCAACCTTAAATCATAGATTTGAAACTGGTATCCTACAAAGACAACCAAAAAAATTAACAGTTGGCATTCATGATTCAATAGTCAACAGTCGGCATTCAACCAAAAAAATTTAGAATAGGTAACATTGTGTGCTAAAAATGCCTAAATACCAAGAGGTCCAAGACACGATTTTTTTTTTTTAATACACGGGCAGGGGACTATGCAACCAGCAGCAGTATGCAACCAAAAATTAAAGGCACAGCATTAGTTATTTAGTTCCCAACATAGCCAAAATCAGATTCTGGTAGATGCAATCAATTGCACGAAATGAGATCCAAATCTCCAATCCATATCTAGAATAGCTAACACTGTTTGTTGGAAATGCCTAAATACCAAGAGGTCCAAGACACGATTTTTTTTTTTTTTTTATACACGGGCAGGGGACTATGCAGCCAGCATTATGCATACCAACAGAAAGAGTAACCTTAGAATGAAAATGTGAAGATACCTAAGATGGAGCTGGGTTGCTGGAGAGTGGAGGAAGAGAGAGTATTGGCTGGATCTGGATCGCCGGCAGCGGCTGGAGTGGCTGGACCACCTGCGCCTCACCGACCGTTGGATGCTGGAGAACAGAGGAGAGGCGCGATCTGAAAGTGCAAGGTTTAATGAAGAAGCTTAAGGAGATAGAGCAACGGCTGGAGGCTGGAGTTGGAGAATAGAGGAGAGATCGAGCTAGGCTGTTGGAGAAAATAGGAGAGGCACGATTGAAATTGCAGGGCTAAGTGAAGAAGCCACCCCCCAGCCAAAACGACGTCGTTTTGGGCTGGGGATTCTTTTTTTTTTTTTTTCCTACTTGCATAATGTACCGGTCAAATTTCAGTGTACTGGCCGGTACACCAGAATTTGACCGGTACACCTGAAATTTGACTGAAACGAAATTTTAACTTATTCTATTTCGATTAACCTTCAAAACCGGGGTACGGCCGGTACGAAACGGTACGGACTACATTGCCCATAACTCTCCACCAAATACCCCAAGCTATCCCTGGTCCTGAGCTCAGACTTATACTGTTTCACCTCCTCCACTATATCTGCATCTACATCATAACATCTCTCTCTCCTACCCTCCACTTCTACCATAGTGATGGGTACACTATCTCCCCCAACCCCAACTACATCCCCTCCTCCCACTACCTCCCCTCCTCCCACCCCCTTCACCGTCCTCTCCGAACTAGACGGACTGCTCTCTGAGTCCATCCCACCATACTCCAGAGGCATTACCTCACTTTCTACAACACTTATTGTTTCTTCCGAAGACATTTTCTCAAATTTCTGCACGAAGTAGGGGGAGGAATGACGTCAGGACCCTTTAAAAAAAAATGTTTAACGCACACCCTAAATCATTCTCACTCCTAACCCCAACTTCCTTACGAGGACTCAAAATCACACACAGAAAGGGAGAAAGGAGAGTACACTTCGATTAAATCAAAATATGAGATTTGTATACATTACTTGATTTCAGTTTCGAAAACTTGATGTAGAAACCCACAAATGCTGCAGCAATTCACGCGCAGGAAGCACACAGTAAAGCTTTTACATAAATTTTGCAGAAAACACAATGAAAGTAAAGTTCTTTCTACAAAAAAATGACTATTTATACCTCCGAGGAAAATTAGATCTCAACGGCTGAGATTCGTTTAATCTTATGGTTCTTATTCACGCCGTTTCGAATTCAACTGTGTAACCCTAACGGAAGCCGTTTGAATTCAACGGTTCGTTTCCTAATTCCGGTTGTCTGACTATCACAGTTACTTTTTTCAGCCCGTATTAATTCTACACATCTTTTGACAGACAACTATCATGTCACAAGATAACCCTATGTCAAACTTTATAAGCGAGCCCACTTAAACCCAACTCAACACTTCTGTTTACTTTCACAATTATATTTTTAACTTATAAGGTTTTCACTTCGACTCCGACCACTGTGACTGTCACATATTTTACTTCGGCCCAAGCTATTATAACTCCATGTCACACATTTCACTTCGGCTCCGGCCACAGTGACCCAGTGTCACGTTTCACTTCGGTAACCATCACAATGACCCAGTGTCATATGCTTTACTTTGGGTCTGACCACTATAACTCCGGTCATCACTTTTTATTACGGCTCCGGCCAGCATAACTCCGGTCATTACTTTTTATTACGGCTCCGACTACTATGACTCTGGTTATTACTTTTTATCACAGCTCCAGCAACTGTCTTCGTTCATCATTTCTCACTACGGCTCCGGCGCTATGACTCCGATCATTATTTTTTATTATTTGTTATTACTTTTTTACATTGACTCCGGTCATTTTTTTGCCACGGCTACGACCACGATCACTCCAATCACATTTTATTTTGGGCATGGCCAACATGACCCCCTATCACATATTTCACTATTAGCTACGACTATACATACATTTGAGTTACAGATTTTTATTTTTATTTCTATTGTTACTTCTGCAACTCATCTTTAACTTTGTATCTCCTTTCCTTTCTATTTATGCACTACTCCCATTATCTCTAACAACATCATTCACAAGTGAATGACTTCGGAAGGGGAATAGTGTAAGGACAGGTCCGAGGTGCCCAACCTCAAACGTACGGCAGTAATTCCTTTATAACCGGAGTGAAGAATAAATCCAAAACTTCCCGCTCAAACAGTTGCATGACAACGACAGTAGGCATGCCCACACCTAACTTTTTATGACAAGTTGTACAGCAGTTACAACAGACATTCTCGCATCTGAATATCTTTCAATTTCCCGGTCCCGAAATAACCGTTTGGAGGGACACGTCAGACTCCGATTATCTTACTTGGCATGCCACGTGGGTTCCTCACTGGAGCCTATAAATACCTCCCAAGGGCCACGTCAAAAAGGTGATTGAAACCAACCCTAAGCTCTTTTTATCTCCGCTCTAAAGGTAGCCTCGATTATTGCTGACTTAAGCATCAGAGTGTCTACCCCGAGAATTCACCTCGGGGCTTTGCAAGTTAATCCGGAGTGTAGACGCGGACTGAAGAAGGACTTCTGGTTTGGTGCAATTACACTAGTAAACAACTTTTCATGATGACTCGAATTCACAGAAGCTGCATCAACAAGACAGTTATTAGATCCACCAGCCTGGTTAAGAAAATAATTAAAATTTGCAGAACAAATAATCATTTCTAGAACAACTAATATTTAGAAAAGCAACCAAAAATGAATCACTGGTTGCATTAAGTTATTCAACCATTGAGGGTATCAGAGTAAGAGCATCAGTAACAACGCGACAGAAACAACAGGCATTTAGAAAAGCAAGTAGAAAAGAATCTGCATTGGTACGCTGGATGAGAATACAACACTAAATTTTATACTATCCAAAAGAATCCATTTGGTCATAGAGAGGGGAACAAGTATCTTTTATTACTAGTCATGGAATTGCTTCCATATGGACTTCCTTCTAATGAATGACAAAATTTTTCCCCACAAACTGAATCAAACTTAAATGTCCGAGTATCATTCTTCCAAAATGAAATGAAAATGATAAATTAAAGCCTAGGCAACCATTGAATTAATCCTAGATGATTCTAAGAAAATATAGCTTGGAAGACTTATCTCCTACCCATGCAATTTACTTACTGGCCAGGCCAGATGAAGTGAAATCATCCTACAAAATTCTCATTTTGAAATCCAAAGCCAATATCAGCATTACCATCATGGGCAGACTATGAAGTGGTGAAAGACTTCAATTAAGAAAAGAACCGAATGCTCAACTATCCATTGTGATTGAATTACTCCCACCCCACTAAGGATACGGCCACAGATTGCCTCATCACTGTCTGTGATCCATGAGGATGATTGCTTAGGTAACGTTTAACAAAACTGAAGGAACAGGCCCCCCCACCTAAGGATATTTGCCCAATATAAGAAATTCATACATAGAAAGAGCATGAACTTATGAATGTCTGGCTGTGAGTAACAAAGATTGACTCACATAAATCCAAACTACTCTAATATTTGGTTTTAGGGCTATTTGATTAGGGAAAAAGTCAGAATGGAGAAGAGCTTATTCAAATGTGAGCAGGGGAAGGAAATGGAAGGATGTCATATCCTTCCATTACCCTCCCATTCCCTCTCTTCTATTTTGCTCAAACCGAACATATCATAAAGGAAACAGAAGGTAGGGATGCAAGCAGCGGCGGAGCCATAATTTTTTTTCAGGGAGGACGAGATAATTTTTTATATACTAATTTATAAAATTTTTAAATTTAACGAGATAATTTTTCATATACTAATTTACAAAGATTTTCAAATTTCAGGGGACTAGTGCCCCCTCGCACCCCCCTCCCTCTGCCGCTGGACACAAGGGAAGCAAAGTAGCATTATCATGATCAATTGAATTAAGTTGTTAAGTCAATAAAATAATTTATTTAGTTATAATAATAATTTTCCATTCTCTCAATATTTTTTCCATTGCTATTGTAATATCTTATATTAACACAATTGATGTTGAAATTCTAACATAAAAAATGCCTCATATTAACCTGATAACTTTTGAAGTTCCATAAATCTTTAAAAATTTATATTATAGTTAAAAATAATTAGTTGTGAGTTTTCTCATAAGAATTGATTGTGAATTTTATATAACTTTATTCTCAATTTAAGCTTAATGGGCAAACTACAAAATCTAACAATTTCATGGCAAAATATCCCATTAGCCAATTTAGGTATTCAACCATCCATCACCAATTGGTGTTAGCAACAAACGAGTATGAAACAGCTTTCTAAGAACATGGAGTCTCTCCTGACTGATTTCATATGCAGTTTACAAACAAACAAATGAAATTTTCAAACCTCCTACCCCTAAAAGCACTTCCGAGTAATTTACCATCCGATTCCCTAAAAAAATTAGAGGGAATCAGAGACATATTTACCCTGGCTCTATCACTAATTACAGGGATGTAACGGATATATCTATTGAACCATGTACAACAGCATTGGAACTAAAGATATAGCAAAACCCATGTCAAATCCAGAAGCCGAAATACAGAATTGCGTGGTATTCTATTCTTCAATTGTTAGGAATTTCTTGCCCTTCCTTTTTCACCTTTACAGTCTTGTTACTAGATTGATGCTTTGAAGAAGGTTCCACAAGAAGCAGGTGGGACATTACATATGCCAAGAGCTCTTCATGGTGGGAAAATGTGAAGTCCAAATGTGCATACTCGAATTCCTTATATGATACGTCTACACGTGAATCCTTCATCAACTTATAATGCTTTCTAACCATTGAAGGGCGAATTATCTGATCCTTTCGACCAGCAACCAGATCAACAGGAATATCAATTAGTCCATAGTATTCACCCAAGTCTAAAGGCACTGGAGATTTATACACCTCAGTGTTGGCAGATGCACTCCCGTAATCATACATTCTAAATTTTCCACCTCGTTTTATTTGTGCAAGGTGGTGAGCCACACGAAAAGAAACTCCTGGCATATCATTCATGTTGTAGTGAGATAACCCTAACACACCAACCCAATTTGAGCTGTCTCCACCCACAACATAACTCATTAGTGTTTGGACTAGTCCTCCAACTGCAGGATAATTATGGAAGTCCCGTGCCAACTTGTTTAACAGCATGCGGAAGAACCTGGTTGGTATATAAAATGCAGGCACAAGTGGTGCCATAATAGGAGCCAACAGACAGAACAGATACTCCACTGCTGTAAAGGCTAATGAAGAATCATCATGGAATCCTGCAGGCGATAGCAAAACTAATCTTGACAGCCTGTGGGGCTTCTCTTCAATCCTACATGTTATAACATACATTAATATAGCAGCCCCTCCCAAGCTATGGCAGATTGCACAGAGTTTGTAAGGTTGCTCATCATTTGTTTCTTCATCAGGACGGCTAATTTTCAATTCAGCAGTTTTGACCTCATTGATCTTCTCTATCATGGCCGGAATATCCTCAGTCCCGTGCTCATTGATTGAATATCGCCAGTACCTGCAATTCAGCATTGCCTTCTATCAAACAGACTTGAATAAAGCTTCCAAGTTTTATTGGTTGGTAACAATGTTACCAGAAAAAGACAATAAAAATTTTTTGTTGAAGATATGAATATTTCTAGGACCATATTAGTCACCCAGATATAAGGGGGAGAGAGAGAGAGAGAGAGAGAGAGAGACCATGATCAGATATCCTCACTTGTTTCAAATTTAGTTTTATGCAATGCAACAAATCAAAAGCTATAGAAAGATCAAATATGTACTTACTGTCGTGATGAAATTTTTTTGTTCACATGCTCCCTAGAAACCAAACCACGAAAATTCCCAAGGAAAACGTCATACCCTGCATAAAGCAACATAATCTTTATACTCTACATCATCTGATACAGGAAATACAGAAACGCCAAAAGAATACAAAACAAACCTTGATCATAAGCTGCAAAAGCCGGAGACCCAACAACACCATTAGAAACCCAACTGAACAATGGAATAAATTGATCAGAATAAACATATAGTAATAACTATGATATATATAAATATTTATGTGATAGAAAAGCTAAAAATTTTAGAACAGAAAAGAAGGCAATAGGTGGCCATAAAAGGTATGCAATTTTTATTCAAGAAGATGAGGCAGCAGCACAACAAAAGGCAAGGATTTGAATATATAGGGACCAAATGCACATGCTCAAGTGTTGGCGATTGGGATAGATATAAGTATTCTAGACAGACCCCAACTCTGAACAATTAAGCCTACATCCCTAACTAGATGCAGTTAATACCAATTATTTTTCAATTTAATGCTGACAGTGAGATGCATACCAGCTCCCTAAATTATATGGCATGATTGATGCCTTCTAAGCATAACATCACACTGGCCAAAAGAAAAAACGAAGACTATAGAAATGAAAGTTTTCATAATAATCAGGATAACTCTTAACAAATTATTTCATTGTTAAAGTTGACTGCAGCTAGTTTTAAAGTAATTAGCATTTTTTTCAACTTTCCTAACTGAAGAAAAAGTCATAATTTGTGGGAGCACCTTTCGCAATTGTATCATGAATTGACCAATATCCCGCTGACCATGAATTAGGGGAACTAACAAGCACAGACATGCTTATTTTAGAAGAATAAAACCATTTAACCACAAGCAGCAATCTTTTATTATTTTGGATATCTTAAGCAGACTACCATCATCAACTTTCTTTCTCCTATGAACAAAATATATCATATGTTTTAGCATCTTCTCCAATTAAAATCCCAATTAATGTGCAATGCTAATGAACTATCCTATTATGATGATTACCTTCTTCACCACACGTTCAAGATCTTCATCTTTCAAGACAATCAATCCTTAATAGGTTCAAAACATGATTAGGATGCATTTTCCTTGGGGAAAAACAATCTTTACGCTAGCCCAACCATCTATGCCAAGAATAGCCATTAAGTTACGTGAATAGCTTCTGAATTATGATTATCCTCTCTTGATATTGGTCTTGATTTGGGAAAATGGAACAATATGATTCACGTAGCTAACCTATTGATTGTAAAAGGCTTAGTTGCATCCAAACTCTGTGTTTGGCATTTATTTAACATGTCAGAACATACAGGAGCACTCACTGAGACATTTTTTAGAGAGCTAAATTAATTACAGATACATATAATGTTTGTATCATGCGCACATATATTTTAAGAAAACAAGGCTTTTATTAATTGCCAATGAATGATTTGTCTAGAAAAACAATTTATCATAGAGTGGAATAATGATTGAATGCAACATGACACTCACGTATGGCTGTCAATGATCACCAATATATAATTACTGAAGCAAATCAGTCGCAAAATTCACTGACAAGAAACCAGAACCAGACAACTCTATGAGAAATCATATAGCTCAACATATGACACAAGTAACAAAAAAACCAACCACCAGAAGAAGATATCATAGATATGAAAAATTGATGGAAGTTTTAAGGTTTTTCTGATATATTGTCACCACAGATAGTCATGATATTAAATCCCATGATAGCAAGAAATAAAATGCCTCTTTCACCAACTCATATGAAGATACTTCAAGAAACAAAATGTTATGGGCAGAGGATAGACTATCACTCACCCCATAGATGAATCCAAAATTCCATGCTGTAGGTAAACTGCCTTTCGAGCATCACGTCTGCAACATCAAACTAGAAGCATCAATCACCACAATTCAAACAAAACTAACAAATTGACAATCTGAAAAGGAAATGAATATACCTTGGAATTCTTTCCAAATGAAGAACATATCCATCAGAAGTGATGACACGAATAGCTTCATAAGGGTACCTAAGATGGTGGAGTAGTAAGAAATGAGAATAACATACACAGAATCCCAATGGCAGAAAAATGAAGTTGCAGTTACCACCTTCCTTACCCCATCTCTGTTATGACATCCTGACATGTCCTAGCATCTGTATTGAGTGACTGGTAGAGAGTAGTTTTCCTTTCTTTAACGGTAGGATCATTCGATCCAAAAGTGGCTGTGGTGACAGAAGCATCTGAAACACCAGGATGAACATCTTTAACACCACTTCTTGGAGATGAAAACCATCTTAGAACTATTTTTAATGCCTCTGATGGGGAAAGAAGACAGTGAGCAGCCTTGTGAAACATATCAAATATAGTTTCAATGAAAATTTCAATTGCCAAATGGAGATCCTGATTTTCATAGAATCAAAACAAGTAAAGAAAGATAATTAGAACTAATAGTGAAAAATCAGTGAATCAAAATACAAAGGGTGATAAAATGTCCTTGCAGAAACCTCAATAACTCCACGTCTCCTGTCAGTGGTACGGTGAACGACATGGTCCCCAGGGGTGTGAGGTTTCCTAATAGAATGTACATGCAAAGACTTGGGGCTTTGAGGAGTAGCCAAAGCCCTTGATTGCCTCATATAAAATAAACAAAAAAGACGAAATGGTATCCCCAAGAGAAGCTTAGCAGGTAGGAACATCCATGAAAGCATGTAAGCAATCCAATCAGTCCAATGCCAACCACAGTTACTCTGAGTGCTTGTTCTGGACACTCGTGAACTTTGAGAAGTTGGTGATGCAGGGCATATTTCATCAAAGTCATTTTCTTCAGAAGTATAATCCACACTAGAAGTATCAGAATCCACAGAAAGCTCATGGATGAACCGGTTGAATGACGAAGCGCCTCTATTATCAACAAAAACAACAGCAACAACAAAATGGTAATGTTAGCAGCTAAAGTTTGAAATACAAGCAAGTTCTATGAAAAACGCCAGCACACCATGATAATTATGTGTCACAACCACAAGAACATGAATGGAGGGTGCCCATGTGGTGGCAGGTATTGCTATATTGTATATTTTGGGAGAACTTATATTAGCAAAAGGTCCCAATAATTTTGCTTCAACTATCTTTACAGATCAAAAAAGCCATACTAATTCACAATCCATCAAATCCAACACTTACTTCTCCATCCAGCGAGGAAATCGAGGTCCCCGAAAGGTTGGCCTGAGCTCCCAACCCTGGACACCTTCAAGAATATTTGCCTTTCCTGGCAAAATGGTCAGTAGAAGTGCTGACAACCCATTGATAAATCTCACAATGTTGTTCAAAGCCTCATAAGTGAAGGTCTTCACTGATCTGCACAACAAAACAGAAGCATTGCTCATTATTTGGTAACTGATTTTTTTTTTTTTTTTCATTTTATGGATCAGCTGAGTATTTTTTTTATTTAATGGGGAAACTCAGACAATAATTAGGACCATTTACTAGCTATGCAAAGAGGAAAAAAGGATTAAAAGAGAGATTGGTACTGTTACTTGCAAAAGAGAACTAGAAAAATTGAAAAATTGAAAGAGAACAAGAAAACAGAACCATAACTTTTCAATTGAAAAACTGTTTGCATTCAAATGGGCGCAGTATATATATGTTAACTAGAAAAGTGGATGAATTCGCACAAAATATAACAGAGATCAGTACTGTCACTGTCAAAAGAGAAAATAAAAATAATAAAGGAAAGCACAAGAATCAAGGACTTGGGATTAATTAGAGGCAAGATCACCCATAAAGTAGTATAAAATATAATTCAACAGAGCAAGTGAAATATTAGGAAAGAAACAAACCATAAGAATTTGAAACTCAAAATTCTTTTCCATCATAGAAAATGTCGATAAGTCCAAATCCCTATATACTTTTAGAAATATCAGATGAACTGAAAAGGTAACCATGAACATGTGTAACTTCAAGAGTATTAGCAAAGAAGTTTTCACATATCCACCAGAATAGACAGAGTATCACTGGGCATTTCACACCTCTAAAGTTTCCCATTAGTAACATTTTGATAATTTGATGCACTGATGCAGTTGTCCATCAGAACCACCAAATGCCATGTTCTTCAAGTTGAAAAATGGAATTGTATATTCTGTAGAACAGGCCAGTGAATTGAAGTTCAGAGTTTCCTTTTT